GTGTTTTCTGCGTAAAAATAAGGGTCGTTTTTGGCTTTGGACTAAAACAAAAAGCAGAAGGGCTTATTGAAAAATGCTAATTCATTCTCTCTTCATTCTTTTGCTTTTCGCCAGGAATATAGCCATTTTCCCGATAACCACTGTAAAGCAGCGCAGCATCTGATTTTGCAACCTGCAGCGCTCATATTTAATCAATTAAACCATAGCCTTTTGGAGTGTAAGCTATATCTCAATTTGCATGTATATTTGTTTTTTTCACTGGAAAACGTCTTCTCCTCCCGTCCCATTTCTACCAGTGATCCTTTCCTTCCCGCGGTACTCATCACTGTTGCAGGTTGCCAAGTTGAGGGGACAAATGGGTTGAAATTTGTATGTGTCGATTGTGTGAGAAGGATGCGTTTCATACAAGATCTGGCAACTGGGCAACCTTGGAAGTAATTTGAGAGACTGGTGTTGCCTACCTGAAGGACATTACTGGACCCTTGCTGGATCCTCTTCAGTTTGCCTACAGAGCAAACAGGTCTGTGGATGATGCAGTCAATATAGGAATGCACTACATCCTCCAACATCTGAACAAACCAGGGACTTATGCAAGAATCCTGTTTGAGGACTTCAGCTCCGCTTTCAACACTATCCTCCCGGATACCCTTCTGAATTAAATGACACAGCTCTCTGTACCCACCCTCATCTGTCAGTGGATCATCAGCTTCCTGACAGACAGGCAGCAGCTAGTGAGGCTGGGCAAACTCACATCCAGGACTATCACCATCAATACTGGCGCCCCTCAGGGATGTGTTCTCTCTCCACTGCTCTTCTCCCTCTACACCAACGACTGCACCGCTAAAGACCCCTCTGTCAAACTCCTGAAGTTTGCGGACGACACTACAGTCATTGGCCTCATCAGGGGTGGAGATGAGTCTGCTTACAGACAGGAGGTCAAAGAGCTGGTTGTCTGGTGCAGTCACAACAACCTGGAGCTGAACACTCTCAAAACAGTGGAGATTATCGAGGATTTCAGGAGAAACCCCCCTGCACTTTCCCCACCAACCATCATGAACAGCACTGTGGCTGCAGTGGAGTCATTCAAGCTCCAGGGAACCAACATCTCTCAGGACCTGAAGTGGGACAATCACATTGACTCAGCAGAGGCTGTACTTCCTTTGCCAGCTGAAAAATGTCAACCTGCCACTGGCACAGATGACAGATGTTCTGCTCTGCTGTTATTGAGTTGGTTCTGTGCACTTCTATAACTGTCTGGTTTAAGTCAGCCAGCAAATCAGATATAAGAAGACTGCAGCGGACTGTTAGGACAGCAGAAAGGATAATTGGTGTGCACCTGCCCAACCTTCAGGACTTGTACAACTCCAGAGTGAAGAAATGGCCAGGTAACATCATCACAGACTGCTCCCTTCAGGCAGACGCTACAGATCTCTGTGCACTAGAACATCTAGGCATAAAAACAGATTTTTTTCCCCATGCCATCTCCATCTTAAACAGCTAACACAGAAATGACCACCTGTTTTCTGTAATTCATTCATTCTATTAATTCTTGAGAGAGAGGAATCAATTAGATATCATGTAAATACAAGTGCATATTTGTTTATACAGCTGATAATACAGTACACAATGCACAAACCTGTACATAAACCTTCTGTTCCAGATGTATACCACATTATTATTATTATCATTATCATTTTCCTTGATCTTATTTAAATGTTCTCTTAATCTTGTGTCATATATGTATGATTATGTACATGTATGTATGTATGTATGTATGTACCAAGAGTTCCTGAAAAACCACAAACAAAAAATTTCCTTGTGTGTTTGTGCACACTTGGCGAAAGCTTATTCTGATTCTGAAACAATGTTAGCAACAAGCCAAAACAATCTAACAACATGTTAAAATATGCCAATACATATAGGAACATGTTAGCAACATGCAAAAATGCTAGCCATACATCATAGCAATCATATAGCAATCTATTTATCCATGTTTCTGAGAGACCTATTCCTTAAGTGCTTGGAGGAAGTAAAGTTGTGGATGGCTGAAAATCTTGTTCAATTGAATGAAAATAAAACAGAAGTTATTATTTTTGGTCGCACAGCTGGTAGCCAGATGGTAAACGATAACTTGGGCCCATGGTAGGTGTACCTGCAGGATCAAGTAAAGAACTTGGGAGTCATTTTTGACTCATCTCTCATATTTGATCGACAAATAAAGACGGTGGTCCATAATTGCTTCTTCTATCTAAGGGCAATAGCCAAATTGAAACAAATTCTTCCAGCCAGGGACCTGGAAAAAATTGTCAATGCCTATATTGTTTCCCGTCTAGACTAGTGTAGTGCTCTTTATGTTGGGACTTGTCATAAACATGTTGCTTGCTTGCAGTTAATACAAAATGCTGCTGCAAGGTTGTTAATGAATGCTAGGAAATCAGATCATGTTACTCCCTTATTGTCTTTTTTAGGATGGTTACCAGTACAATTTAGGATACAATATAAGATTTTGATATATGTCTTTAAAGCTCTTCACGGAATGGCGCCAGAATATCTAGTTGAGCTTATTAAGCCCCACAGTCCAAGCGTAATACTAAGATCATCAAATACGTTTCTCCTAACTCTCCCTCATGCACGTCTCAAATTGAAGGGTGATTGTGCTTTCTCCGTCGCTGGTCCAAGACTGTGGAACAATCTGCCACTGGATGTTAGATCTTCCTTAACTTTAAATGTTTTTAAGGATCGTTTGAGATCATATTTGTACTCCCTGGCATTTTAGTATATGGATGTTTTTATGTTATTGTCTTGTTGTTGTTTTTTTTGCTTTCCATTGTAATGTACAGCACCTTGGAACTACTGTGTAGCCTGTAAGGTGCTATATAAATAAATAAACAAACAAACAGACAGCATGGCCTTAAAACCTTCAAACTTCAAGCTTTTTAAACTACTTCAAACATTTTGGTTAGGCTTTCTCAAGCTAAGATAAGGTTTGTCTTTTTTATATAGTTAATTATTTATTTTAATTATTGTAATATTTTCTGTGCTGTGAAGAGCATGCAGCAGGACCTTCTGTGCTGGTAGAGTCAAAGTGTCATTAGTTGAATAGATCTTCATCATTACAACAGCATTTGAGGTTCCTCAGATCAGCGCACTGGCAGAACCTTAGGCTGGTTTCACACCACAAGTGTGGGTTTCGCGTCAGCTTCACATTAGCGTAACTACATCGTCACTGCAGCTGCAGACTTGCAGAGTATTCACACTGGAAGCGTTTGTACAGCGTCAGAGTAGCGGCTCCAAAGCTACATATTTCTTTACACAGACAACTATAAATTTGTTTTTAGAAGTTGGTCATTTATAAACTTCAAAGTTTTAAAATCTTGAAAGTTTGTTAACATGGGGATTCATCTGTTAATGGTAAACAACAAACACAACCAAGAAAACCGCTCTGATCACGTCATTTCAGACATACTTTTATGTAGATTGTGCTGTTTATAATGTTATTTTCATAATACACCGTACTTTCACCCAAACTGAATAATTAAAAACAAGTTTAAATGGGTAAATCTTCTATACATATTTTTGATTCTTCATTTAATTTTCTGACATACTCCAATTCTAGTTAAAACACACTAGACATGCTTATTCTGTGCATTAAATTCTTCCAGCCAGGGACCTGGAAAAAATTGTCAATGCCTATATTGTTTCCCGTCTAGACTAGTGTAGTGCTCTTTATGTTGGGACTTGTCATAAACATGTTGCTCGCTTGCAGTTAGTACAAAATGCTGCTGCAAGGTTGTTAATGAATGCTAGGAAATCAGATCATGTTACTCCCTTATTGTCTTTTTTAGGATGGTTACCAGTACAATTTAGGATACAATATAAGATTTTGATATATGTTTTTAAAGCTCTTCACGGAATGGCGCCAGAATATCTAGTTGAGCTTATTAAGCCCCACAGTCCAAGCGTAATACTAAGATCATCAAATACGTTTCTCCTAACTCTCCCTCATGCACGTCTCAAATTGAAGGGTGATTGTGCTTTCTCCATCGCTGGTCCAAGACTGTGGAACAATCTGCCACTGGATGTTAGATCTTCCTTAACTTTAAATGTTTTTAAGGATCGTTTGAGATCATATTTGTACTCCCTGGCATTTTAGTATATGGATGTTTTTATGTTATTGTCTTGTTGTTGTTTTTTTTGCTTTCCATTGTAATGTACAGCACCTTGGAACTACTGTGTAGCCTGTAAGGTGCTATATAAATAAATAAACAAACAAACAGACAGCATGGCCTTAAAACCTTCAAACTTCAAGCTTTTTAAACTACTTCAAACATTTTGGTTAGGCTTTCTCAAGCTAAGATAAGGTTTGTCTTTTTTATATAGTTAATTATTTATTTTAATTATTGTAATATTTTCTGTGCTGTGAAGAGCATGCAGCAGGACCTTCTGTGCTGGTAGAGTCAAAATGTCATTAGTTGAATAGATCTTCATCATTACAACAGCATTTGAGGTTCCTCAGATCAGCGCACTGGCAGAACCTTAGGCTGGTTTCACACCACAAGTGTGGGTTTCGCGTCAGCTTCACATTAGCGTAACTACATCGTCACTGCAGCTGCAGACTTGCAGAGTATTCACACTGGAAGCGTTTGTACAGCGTCAGAGTAGCGGCTCCAAAGCTACATATTTCTTTACACAGACAACTATAAATTTGTTTTTAGAAGTTGGTCATTTATAAACTTCAAAGTTTTAAAATCTTGAAAGTTTGTTAACATGGGGATTCATCTGTTAATGGTAAACAACAAACACAACCAAGAAAACCGCTCTGATCACGTCATTTCAGACATACTTTTATGTAGATTGTGCTGTTTATAATGTTATTTTCATAATACACCGTACTTTCACCCAAACTGAATAATTAAAAACAAGTTTAAATGGGTAAATCTTCTATACATATTTTTGATTCTTCATTTAATTTTCTGACATACTCCAATTCTAGTTAAAACACACTAGACATGCTTATTCTGTGCATTTTTAGCACTTTTTGTGTGAAATCATATTTATTTTGTCCATCAAAAGTGTGCCGTCACTTTGATTGAGCGTAAGCTGCACAGATGGGTAAATCTTCTATACATATTTTTTTATCCTTAATTGTCTTTTCTGACATACTCCAATTCTTGTTAAAACCCACTAGACATGCTTATTCTGTGCATTTTTAGCACTTTTTGTGTGAAATCATATTTATTTTGTCCATCAAAAGTGTGCCGTCACTTTGATTGAGCGTAAGCTGCACAGCAAAATTAGACTCTGTGCCGAAACCATCGCTTCAGTGCTGCTCACATTGATGTGTTGAACTGTTTTCTCAAACTCTCCTTTCATTGTTTCATTGTGTTTCAGTTTCTCTTGTAAGGACTTCAGTGCTGTATTGAGCTCCTCCTAGAATTAAACAAAAACACATTTAAAAAACAAACAAGCAAAAACAGATTACAGTGAACAGAAGAAGAGAAGACAATACCGTGATATGATCATATAATGCAGTGAAAAATATTTGTCCCCATCCTGATTTCTTCTGTTTTTGTGTATGTCTCATATATCTCAAAAGTTGTCCAATACCAACTGAGCCTGTGTGAAAATGTATTTGTCTCTGTACAACAAATCAACACTTAAATGGGACTTTTCAACAGCATGAAGTTATCTTGCTCTTAAACAGTAACACACTATAACACACATGAAAGAAATTACAAGAATGATGAGGAAGAAAGTGATTGAAAGGATTACAAAGCTATTTCAAAGGCTCTTGGACTCAAAGAATCACAAATACCGCTTTTCCACTGGGGCTGTGCTTTTCAGCTCAAAGAATCCTGGGCCGGTGCCCAGATCCTGCTTACGAACCGGCCCCGAAACCTTGCTGGTCTTGATCAAGGGAACCTATGATGTCAGTAGGCGGAGATTCCACTACAGACCACAGTTTGAAAGGCACTTGCATTTTTAAAAGCCGTCAGAGTTCAGTTAAATTAACAACAACAATTAAATGTCAGTTCAGTAGTTGTCAGAAGAAGAGACCAACGCTCTCCTGCAAGAGATAACAAGCGATTCTGGTCACATGTTAGTGACGTAGAGGGTTCTGCTCCTTGCCAGTGGAAACGCGAGCCGGTTCCGGCTCCAGCTCCGGCACCAGCCCCGGCACCAGCCCCAGTGGAAAAGCAGTACGTGAGAGCCATTATCTCCAAATGGAACAAACTCAGCACAGTAGGGGGGAACTAAACTGTAATGAGCCTTTAATATACTGTATAGCCTAGTCCACGCTTAAGCTTGCCACAAAGCACTGGCAAGAGTAATGACCATTTGTTGGGAAAAATGGCAAGGAGATATTTTCATTATTTAATAATAATGTCATGTTTCTGTTCTGTGCTTTTAAATTTTGGTTTTCTTGGCATTTCTGTCCCCCTGCATTAGTTCCCTGGTTAGTCTTTTTCCTTAGTAATCCTTTAGTCTCATTGGTTGTTAATTAGCCCTACACTTGTTCTGTTTCTTCATGATTGCATTCTCCCCTGTATTTAAGCCCTCTGTTTCCCTCAGCTCTCTGTCTGGTATTGTTTTGGTGATGTTGGTTTGTTGTGTTGTGGATTTACATTTGGATTACAAGCGTTCTATGTTTGTTTTGTTTTATTTTATTTTTTTTTTATAATGGAATTGCCAGCTGTACAGCTCGTATGCCTGGAGCAGTTGGACCGTTCACTGGAGGACCACACCAGGGACTTTTTAGATCTGGCGTGCCTTACGCACTACCCCAACCGCTCGCTCTGTGTATTTTATATCACCAGCCTGAGCGAGTGGTGTAAGGCATGCCTGACAGCGAACGGTCCCCAAGAGGATTTCACCGCTTTTGTGGAGTGGGTTCTGGTGAATTGTGGATTACCGTTCACCATCGACACCACGGAGGAATTCACCAGCCCCACTCCCAATCTAGAGCCCAGCCAGCCTTCACTGAGCACTCGCCAGAGCCCACCGCAGCAGCAGAGCCCAAGCCCGCCGAGATCAAAGAGCCTGAGCCAACAGGAGCGACACAGCGGAACATTGCCCCGGAGCCCGAGCTCGAAGACGCAACTGGCCAGGTGCATGAGCTGGCACCACTGTGTGATGCCGTGGGAGTCCTCGTGGAGATCGAGGGAATGGATTATAACCCCGCCTACACTCCCAATGCCGCTGACCTCTGGACTACTAGACTGTTTAAATGAGGATGAATACTGGCTTCTCCCTTCCCCGCTGGTCCTGCTGAACTCTCCTTCGTCTCCGCTGGTCCCACCGAGCTCTCCTTCATCTCTGCTGGTCCTGCCCAGCTCTCCTTCGTCTCCACTGGTCCCACCCAGCTCTCATTTGTCTCCGTTGGTCCCGCCCAGCTCTCCTTTGTCAGCCAGCTCCTCATCAGCAACGTCGGGAAGGTTCCCGCCCAGCGTCCCACTCCCTCCTCCTCTGTCTCAGCCTGCCAGTCCATTGGCCCTGTGTCAGCTGGCCACTGAATATACCTCAGCTCACCCTCAGCACACCAAAACCGGTGGGTTGGATGAGCATTGGGACCTTCAACTTCCAGTTAACTCGGGGTTGGAGGATCCCGTCTCTGTCTCTGCCTCCAGCCTCCGAGACCCGGACTCCACCTCAGTCCCTCCGACCCATCGGCTCCACCTTGGCTCATGGCTCACTCGTTTCCACCATGGCCCCTAATCCCACAGGCTCTACCGGGCTCCCTCGTCCCTCCGGCTCCGCCTTGGTCAGTCGTCGACCATCCTTCGCCTTGGGATTCCACTCCTCCGGCTTCGACTCGTCCCTCGTCACCTGAGCCACCAGCTCCGCCTTGGCCCTCCGGATCCTCGGTGTCACCCTGGCTCTGTGGTTCTCTGTCTCCATCCTGGGCTCCTCTTCCACCAGCTCCGTCTCCGTCAGTTGGCCCCCTGGTGTCGTCGGCCCCATCTCCACCATGGCTCCTCCCACCGTGGGCCACTATCCTGGCTGGCCTCTGGTTCCCCACCTGCTCCGGGCACCTCCCTGGCTCCTTCCTCTATCTACTCCGCCCTGGCCCTATGAAATATGCCCCCTTCCCATTGCCTGCCCCTCACCTGCCCCATGCCCACCTCCTGAAACCCCACCCTCCCTCCTCTGTTGGACTGCTTTTGTAGGAGCGAAGACACGCCATTTCGGGAGGGGGCGAAATGTCACATTTCTGTTCTGTGCTTTTACATTTTGGTTTTCTCTGTATTTCTGTTCCCCTGCATTAGTTTCCTGGTTAATCTGTTTTCTTAGTAATTCATTAAGAAGAGATGATGCCAACCCCTCAGAGAACCTCAGATGATGCCAACCCTGAAACAACATACAGAACTACCAAATTTTGCTATAAGTTTGATTGCATCATATAATAATTACTGTTAATAGTGTTCATCGTCTGTTTGATTACGTCTTTAATTTATTTTTCCTTATATTTCTGCCATATGTACATAAACTGATAGTCACCACTGATAAGCTACTACTAAATATTGTAGAAACTTACATTTCTGCAAAGTTGCTTTGCAACGATTTGTATCATAAAATGCGCTATACAAATAAACTTGAATTGAATAAACTTGAATTTAATTCATCTCATTGGTCGTTAATTAGCCCTACACCTGTTCTGTTTCTTCATGATTTCATTCTCCCCTGTATTTAAGCCCTCTATTTCCCTCATCTCTCTGTCTGGTATTGTTTTGGTGATGTTGGTTTGTTGTGTTGTGGATTTATGTTTTGATTACTCCTGGAATTTGCATTAAAATAAACTTGAATTGAATAAACTTGAATTTAATTCATCTCATTGGTCGTTAATTAGCCCTACACCTGTTCTGTTTCTTCATGATTTCATTCTCCCCTGTATTTAAGCCCTCTATTTCCCTCAGCTCTCTGTCTGGTATTGTTTTGGTGATGTTGGTTTGTTGTTTTGTGGATTTACGTTTTGATTACTCCTGGAATTTGCATTAAATACTCTCTTGAACTTTACTCCTTCGTTGTGTGCTTGATTAGACAGCCAACACGTTACAAATAAACTAGTGCTTTCTGAGTCACTGTCGGTTGCAAAGATTAAGTTGATGATGCTGACTTGCCCTCTCCACAGTATATTGGTCTTTAGAGAGAAATGCACCTTACTGTTTACATAATCAGAGAGTATTTGTTTTCAAATTGTTTTTGAATTGGTTCATTTTAAAGTAGACATTTAAATTTTTATGTAGATATATTTCTCATGTCTCTGAAGCAAGTGGCATTAAGGATGAGTTTTAATTCATTTTTGTGACGCGCTCCAGTTCATGGAGACAGAGATGGCAGAAAGCACATCCTATTTGTTTTCCTTATTTTATAAAGGAGCAACATTCTGCTGATATTGTGAGTGTATATAAATAAAAGTAGATCATTGACAATTTTGTGGCGTATGATGGATTTATTTTTTTACATTTTTTTTTGCTTAAAATGTATATTCTGTGTTTACTCAGGTTGCCTTTGTTTTATGTTGTATTTTGTTTGAAGATCTAAAACTATTTAGTATGAGACAAAAATAGAACAAATCAGGATGGGGGCAAATACTTTTTCACAGTATATGCCATCTTAAGTTGAGTCAAATGGCAGAGAGAAATATTTATTGCATGAATGTGATATCTGTGTTTGACTAATTATTGTTCTTTACATATTAAACAAGAGACAGCTGTCTTACCTTATGTGATGAAACCACTTCACTGATGGGTCTGAATTTATGATTGTCATGTTGTTTTGAATCTCTGCACACTAAACACACCGGCTGTTTGTCCTCCAGACAGAAGAGTTTGAGTTTCTCACTGTGTAAACTGCAGATCTCCTCAGATCCTGATGAACACCTCTCATTCCTCTTCTTCAGGAACGAATCACACAAGTTTTTTAATGCAAGATTAGGAGGTGGATCTTCTTTTGAGGATCTTCTCCTGCAGACAGGACACTCCTTAGTTTTCTTGGTTCTCCAGAACAGTTGAAGACACTTTTTACAGAAACTGTGACTACATGATAAAATAACAGGAGCATTGAAAACTTCATGACACACGGGACATGAAAGCTCTTCTACAGATACATTTAGCGAAGCCATTTTCACTGTTTGAGCTCCAGCAATTTCTAAATGATTTCGCGAAAATGAATCACCATGAGAAGTACAAATATCTGCTGTCTGTTCAAAAACAAGCGTAACAAAAATCCTTCCATAAAGTGTTTCTCTTCCTTCACTGATCGCTGATCCTTTATTGCTTTTGTCAGTAGAGAAGTCAGTCTCTTCCTGGTAAGTGTTGTAGGAGGGTGGAGTCTTTGATCACTTGTGTGTGTTCAAAGTCAAAGACTTTGAACACACAAAAACAAGTCAAAGAGCAACATCAGGATTCCTTTAGGTAAAATTTGAACTAACTGTATTTAAAATTAACTTGCATTGACAGGAAGTGCTTTCCCTTTCAGAATTCCATCTGTTATTTCTAATTCTTTCATATTGGTTTCTAAAAATAAGAAATGGAGTAATGTGGGACATCTAATTCTGAGCTAATAGATTTAAAGGAGTTGTTGGAGGGGGCATGATCATCCTGCTCCTGTGAGCCTTCTGTTCCTTCCAGATCTCCATTGTAGCATTTGGACCAATCAGACACACAATTGTTCATTAGATTTAACAAATCAATTATTCATTAGATTAACAAACAATCACAGACCCCTCACCCAACACCAGACTCGGCGCCTATATGTCTGTGAACGATCTCCAGGCCAGGACCCCTCAGCCAGATCAGATCAACTTTACGACCTAAAAGTATGTAGAGAGAATCTTCCTCCCTACTTAATTCTCTCTAAAACAGACACATACTGCTATAGGAAATGACTTATTTCATTTAATTCATAGACGTTTTTTTCTATGACCTCCCTATCATGCATATCCCCAGGTCATTGTGTAGGATTATTACGTTCTTGTATATGGTCTTGTGTAGTGTATACTATTTTATGTATGCATTATGATAGATCACTGGTTAATATAACCTCACCTATACCATGTTTGGTATCTATGAGTTCGTAATTTCATGATCTAAAAGAGAATGTATATTATATGTTGATACCTATGCAACACATTAGTATTATAAGAATCTTGAAGATTCTTCTCTTGAACACCCAATCGAGTTTCATATGCAAAACACCATGCTAGAGACAAAGGATCGTAAAATTTCCCTCCAAAGGTACCATTCCTCATTGGCTCACTCAAATCCTTAGAGGTGTGACCTGCTTTGAACTTATAAGGCCTCACATCAGTGACCCGCCTATGGGGTTTTGGGTTTTTTGGCTTTTGTCTCTTGTCTCTGCTCTCATCACCATCCCGGGGCTGGCGCAGCTGCGCCTGGCAGGCCGCGACTACAGCCATGTCTTCACTTTCCCTCTGGGAGAAAACTCTCCCGACCACCACCAAGTCAGAATAACATCTTTTGGAGTTCATCACTCTTCAAACCCGGAAGAAGGTGATCCAAACCTTGAAACCATCAAGACTTTAATCCGAGACTGCATCCGGACACTCATGACTGGTCAATGACCAAGGCAATGCAAGTATCATATATTTAACCTAACGAAACAGAGGTTTAGTATAAACTATAGACCCCGTTGTAAAACGGTGCTGATGGTTTCACTCAAAGGTTAACTGCCAAGGCAATGCAAGTATCGTACATTTAACTAAACGAAACAGAGGTTTAGGATAAGCTGTAGACCCCGTTATAAAACGGCGCTGATGGTTTCACTCAGGTGGTTAACTGACTCATTTTCCATAACTGCATTCTCTGGTTTCTCTAACGGATTCAGTCATCCACTTCCAACCTCCCCATGAATGAGTGATTTGTATGTTTGTTTGTTATGTGTTAGTGTTTAGTTAATAAAACTTTTGTGCACAAATTACATGAGTTTCTGGTTCTGTTACCGCTTGTAAATAGTGTCCCTTTTACGATCCGATCTATAGTCAGATTAGTTGATTGTAATATTAATTCTGCTACAGTTACTACTGGCAGCTGAGGTAAATAATTGTAATTAATTATAATTACTTGTAATTATTATATATACATTTCCCTTTTGTGCTAATTTGCTACACCATGCTGAGGTTGAGAGGTCTTGTAAGAAACTGTATTCGGACCACTTCCACATTTCAACATGAATTATTCAAATGTGGAGGGAGTGCGTGAGCACGGACAAATGATGACACCTCAATTGGTGGTTTGTATAAAACTCTCCAAATAAATTTAACTTCATCATCCAATCCCAATCTCTCTCTCCACACTGTATCACCACATTCTTTTAAAGTTGCTTCATTTAAAACTTTTACAAAACATTTATATGAAACTTTACTTTGAACATCCTGCAAACTTAACTCTTCTAACCCCCTCAAGTCCAGAAAAGGTCCAGACAGACCTTTGAGTTTGGGACTAAAAACAATACTTGGGAAGGGATCTGTATTATTAGGAACAAGTTTCCCATTATAAAAGTCAATTAACAAAATGTTTTTTTTTCTTCTTCTGTGAGTTTCTGTTTAAAAATGTCCGGAACTTTTTCTACTTGCTGTACCAACCACACACCTAGATGTGAGGCCAGGGACTGAGCATTAATTAGACCAGGACCAGCAACATCCAACAAATGATACAGTTTTAATGTCTTAGTGGAGATTCAACAATGAATCAGTCCAGGTGTAGCTTCACAAGTAACATCAAACTGAACTCCATGTACAAGAGGTTTCTCCAGAAGCCAGTACAACCAAGAAGTCACCTTCATCCTCCGTTTTTTCAGTAAGTCCCAAACTTTAAAAAGTATTTTATAAAATGGAGTAAGTCCACTGCACTGCAGCTTGCTCGAGTCCATCAAAAACAAAGCAGTGTTCAAGCCCAGTCTGCCAGCTTGATTAAAAACAACATCAGCCACCTGTGAGGTACCTTTGAATAAAAAGGAGTCGAAAAGCTGCCCCCATGCTGGGCAAGTGAATAAGTCCTTGTCCTCCTTCATCTCTGGGCAGAAAAAGTATGCTCTGAGGTGTCCAATGACAAGTGCTCCAAAAAAAGTCCACTAAAATGGCTTGAATTTTACTCAAAAGTCCATTTGGAGGATCAACGCAAGCCAAACGATGCCACAAAACTGAAGCTACCAGATTATTAATTATTATAACCCTCCCTCTAAATGACATTTTTGGCAAAAGCCATTTCCATTTTTCCAGCTGCCCTTTTACTTTTTCTAGAACTCCTTCCCAATTTTTACTTAACATTGATTCATTGCCAACATATACTCCTAAATATTTTAACCCGTCCCTTTTCCAGGATAAACCACCTGGTAGTTCAGGAAAACCATAAAGCCATTTATCAACTGCTATGGCTTCACTTTCACAGAGAGAGAGAGAGAGAGAGAAAGCAGAACCCAGCAAGGAATGATCGCCAAGAAAAGAGACAGAGCAACAGTCACAATCTTCTTTTATCCCTTCCTACCATGTGACTAAAAATCAAATGTGAGACATTCAAACCGACTCTAAATTGCCCTTTTGTTACTGAAGATAGGGTTGGGACAGGAAAGCAGAAATACAATACATATACATTTTCTACTAGGTCTACATGTTTGCTCCTTTATCTTTTGCTGGTTTGAGTGGCATACACACATTTGTTTAATGAAAGTCATAATAGACTCACTTGAAGAGAAACAGTTCTGCATAATGAAAATGTGCGCCTTGAATTAATTCAGTCATGTTTAAATGATCACTAAACGTTTGCCATGACATCTCTCTGCTTGTATGATTGTATAAAAGTCCATGATCGTGACAATGATGAATTTATTTTTAAAAATTATTCATTTTATATTTTAGAACACTGCATAAGGCAAATAGTCTAGAAACACAAATATTTTCCTTACTCTGTTTTCTCCTTAAAAGAGAAAGATTTTTAAATATTTATTTATGAATAAAATATTTGTTTATTAGAAGATATATAAATATTTATTTATCAGATCACAAAAGGTCCCCAAACTGGGACTTGAACTCACGTTGCCCGAAGCACAACCGCACTACATTTTGAAGCACTGCCTGTACGAGGGTATCGGCTCCAACTGTTAGAAGATATTTAAATAAATGTTAAAATCATAAAAAAATATTTTACTAGTTATACAAGGCATATTTGTGCAGTGATAACTACGAAAAAAACAGAGAGGCTGTAAAACCATAGACATAACGGTCTTCTCAAGTAACTGTATGAACTTCTGTTTAAAGCCCCGCCTTCTTCCGGTTTTATCTGAATGCATACACGAATAATTTTGTGATTGTTACAGATACAGATACAGATATTGGCTCCACTGCACACCCCTACAAATAAGTAACCAGCATATATCTGAAGACCAAAAAAAGTGGTCTGCAATTTGTGAATTTATATTACGCATATTATATTATTATATTACTGCATATTACATTTGGCATAAAAACATGTCAAAGCATGATGTAAGTGAAGACAATCATTCATATATTTTCATAAGTAACATTTAAATGATCAGCAAACAAAACAAAAAACACATCAAAATACATTTGTGAATATGTCGTATGATAATTAACATGTATAGCATCATGTATAGGACTATTACAACATTTTAAAAGCCTTCTGTAAGAAGTTTAATGTAACGATTGGATGAATCAGGGTTAGAAAATTTCCATGTATTTATATTATATATAATATTCTAAGTTCTGGTCTCACAGACAGTACGGTTTAAGATTCTTTGAAGGACCACATGCTAACATCACTGCTGAAGAACTGCTAGACTTCTGCCTTCAATAAATTATTCTCCCCACAAGAAGTCTGGTCAAGCTTACTTATTTTATGTATTAGAGACATCTAGTACATTGGCAAGCCACCCAAACTACTGCTCAAATACAGCAAAAACTAACAATTTGGCGAGCCAGCCAGGAGAGACTGACAAGAAGAGAACTCACCACCTGCAACAAGAAGTGAACAAAAGAGTCTTGGAGATTCTACAGTTTTTGTGTTGGAGATCAACAGACTGCATCTATGAACACAAGTTGTTTGAATCAACTGGATCCTTTCTCAGAGATCCTAATTTGGTGAGTGAAACTTATCAGCTCTCTAAAGGAACACTTAAAGAACACTCTTTCATAAGTAAGCAGCTCTCGGGAGATGATCTGAGTTTAGCTCGCTTTTTAGAGTGCTTCCCTTTTATAGAACACAATTGTGAACACACAACTTTTCACTTTATTCACTTTATTTCGACAGTGTCTAATACTCCAGATATAGCTGAATAGGTTACTATGCAAAGGAAAGGACATGGAATGACATTAGGTTACAGGTGAATTCAGAAATGGTGCTTGCCTCCTTTATGTTTGTCTACCCTGTAGACTATGTGTGCATTTTGCAAAGTTATTGCATGATGATATGTTATTGTATAGTATTTTAAAGGTCCCATGGCATGAAAATTTCACTTTATGAGGTTTTTTAACATTAATATGAGTTCCCCTAGCCTGCCTATGGTCCCCCAGTGGCTAGAAATGGAGATAGGTGTAAACCGAGCCCTGGGTATCCTGCTTCGCCTTTGAGAAAATGAAAGCTCAGATGGCCCAATCTGGAAGCTTCCCTTTATGTCGTCATACGGGGAAAGGTTACCTCCCCTTTCTCTGCTTTGCCCGCCCAGAGAATTTGGCCCGCCCATGAGAAAATGAGCTACTACCGTGCGAGGCGAGCGCAATATTTTTTTTTCCCCGAGAGACATCATGGCTTGCAAACGAGCGAAGCATGGCAGTTGCCCCGCCTCTCTCCTCCTCATTAGCATTTAAAGCTACAGACACAGAAATGGCACGTCCTAAGGAAAGCTCATTGTGGGACTGGCTCGTGGCTGAAATTCTGCACCAAGGCTGAATTTCGGGAAAGAGACTTCAGATACAGTACTAGGGACCACTTAGACCTATATAAAAGCATCCAAAAAGCAGCATGTCATGGGACCTTTAAATATAAATTATTTTATATACTCTTTGAATTTGCATTGTAAATGAAAACCGTAATCATTGAGTACAATATGGGGCGGTTCCTCAGACAGGGTTTAAAAATGTAAATCGCATCATATGACCCCTTTAAGCCAGGAGTAGGCTTAATCTAGAATAGTTAATCATGGTTTAAAAAAAAAAAGCTTTTTGAAACACAGATTAAGTGCAGATTACTAACTCCTGGACTATGGAGTCCTGAACTAAAATAAACCAGATTGATTTAAAACCAACTGTGCTAATCTGAATTAGCACAACAGAGGTTGCCTATAAAACATGGAATCAACCAAGAAAAGCTTAAAATTGTATGGAACTGAGAAGCAAATCCAAGGAAAACATAACAGCTGAAAAAAGACTGCAATCAAAAAAAGAAA